GTTTATGAGTATTTTTCTATGTATTTATTTTTTTTCTATTCTTTTTAGAGAGATTCAATTAATGCAATAAGTTTTGTGCATAAGTTTTGTTTATTTTCTTCTGACAGAGATGGATATATACTCAATTACACTCTTCACTGTTTCCATCTAATAAGTGTAGTAAGTTATTGCTAAGTGTAAACAGCATTCTTTGTTGCTATTTTTTTCTGCTGTGAAATTCCTCCCTGATCAGAAATGAAATTCTCTACAGTAAATGGAAGATGTGCTGTGATTATATGGACCGTTGAACATCACAAAGCATATTTGGTAGGAGTTAAGTTCACTGCTGCTACTGACTCCAGCTCACTTCAGTAGTTATGCAATGCTTTGTCTCTACTGCTGAGCTGGGGAGAATGAAGGGCTTGACCTAATTTCAGAGTGGACACTGTGCTGAGGGAGCTCAGTCTGGCACAGGAGCTCCTCTGAAAATTACACAGGAAAAGCAGATAGTGTTTTAAGGGCATATTGATTTATTATTGTCTCCTGGGTACAAATTCACATGTTGATACATTGATGCATCATTAGATCCAAATTGCTGTTGTTTCTCAAGCTCCTCAAGAGAATATTCCACTTCATGTGTTGTTGTGACTTGGATATTTATTACTCAGGGAAATAATATCTGCAGGCTCTGTAGCTTGAACTTGTTTATGGTGGCTTCAGGGCTGGGTATACGTTTATCTTTTTGTAACAGAGGGTAGAGACATGCAGAGCACATTTATTCAGACTCAAAAAGATGGAGATCCTCTCAGGGATCAAATTGTGTCTTGTACCTCTACTGAAATAAAAATCAACAGAAGTAACTCTTGAGCTAGACTAGAACATGACAGAAATACAGACAAATATACCTTTCTGTGTCATCCTGGTATCACACAGCTTTTCTGGTTCTGCCAGGAGTTAAGGAATGCCGTCTGAATCCACACTGACTGTCAGCCTTTTCCCACATCCATTCCTCTTTTTTTCCTTTCCATCTTTTCCTCTGAGTGTATTCCCATACAGTCCAGCTATTCTGGCTATTCAATTTGCTTGTGAAATGCTTTTTGTGTCTGACTGCTGTGTAATGCTTAGAAACACTGGGTGGTTTCTATGGACAAAGCCCTGCCATGTGTTGTAAATTAAAGTCCATCTAGCAGGCATCATACAGGGGCTGTTATCTAGAGGAGGGGAATGGATTCACTCTGCTGTAATTTTCCATTAGTGTTCTACTGTACACTGCATATTTTCACAAATCCTTTTCAGTTTTTGTTTCTGCTAGTCAGTAATTGACATTTGTTTTCTCACTGTCATGACCTCAGGCCTGGAGGCTTAACTCACACTGCAGTCAGTGCTGTCACTGGCAAGAAAAATGCTTTTACTTAAATGGGTAAACATGATTAACAAAATCTGTAGGCCCTCTTAGACCTGAATGGAATGGAAGTTAGAGCTGCCTCAGTAATTGTTAGCAGCTCTTAAGTGTCTTGGGCAAGTGAAGATGGAGATCTGTGATTTTTGCCTGAGTCTGGTCTGTTATAGCTCCAGCTGTCTTACCCCAGTGTAGGCTTGTTTTTATCTTGTGTATTTGGTCAAACCACCGTGTGTGTCCAGTTTACAGAGCAGAGCTGGGAACAGCTCAGGCAGCTGATCTGTGGCCTGAGCTGCTCTCTGGTTTGTCTTCTTTGCCTGGAACTCCTACTACTGCTCAAAAAAACCCTAGAGAAATGGGCGTTAACTTATGTGAGACCCCAAGGCAATGCAGGTTGGAGCCTGGAATTGTAGTGTGTAGAAATAACAAAAAAATATTAAAGAGCAAACTTCACTTCCTTGGATTAACTTGTCTTATTTTCATGTATTTATTTAGTTGAAAATTAATCTATGATGTTTTAATGGTTTTCACTACAAAGTGCATAGTATGCCCACTTGTTATTTCATATTCTGCAGTGAATAATTCATTGTGCTAAATTGATAGTGAAGGCTTTCAGCTGTAATTACTGAAAATCTTTGAAATATGAAATTGAATTCTTACAATGAAATGGTCATAGGCTGAATCATTTAGGAAGTTTAGGTAAGCTGTTAGCTACAGAATGTGTTTGAAAAGATACTTTTGTTCCCTTGGTTTCCTGTTGGTTTTATCTTCAATTTATAGATTCATCATTTAGAAATGTATTTATACTTTGTAGTGCATGTGTGCATTCCTTCAGCATAGAACACCAAGGAGAAACAGATATTTTCAAGGCACTGTCATTTTTCTTTCAGCCAATACTTATAGTGATGTTTTTAGAATATCCTAGTTCTGCTTATTAGTCTCAGTCTAGTGTTTGTATCAGGTCTTGATTATAATTTCTAAAAAAATTTAGAATTTGTCTCCTCCTGAAAATTCATTTCTATGAATTTTTCATGATACAATCAATCACATAAATCTGGTGCCAAAATGCAAAGTGATATGAGAATACCATCAAAATAAGCATGTATAAACAACTGAATGCTTTCCAACACTTGCCCAGCTATATTTTACAAATAACATAGAATCCATTTATGTTGATTTTATGTCTGCTAGCTGAATTTAATACGATAACTTAATATTCTCCCCGTATTTGTTCAGGTCTTTAGATTTCAAGGGATTTGTGAGAAATGTGTATTTAATTCACACTAATACAGCAATGGTAAATTATTATTTTGTTTTCAGTATTTGTCTAGAAATTTGATTTCTACAGTCACTAGTATGAGAATATAAATGAGAACTAGTAAAACAAATGGAGGAAAAACAATGGAAATTATTGGAGTACTATTATTACTCTTTTATGTAAAAGAAAAGTGGTTTACTTCTCATCTAAATCACTAAGTCTACCTAAGCCAAATTGTGGCATTTGCACATGCTAGGAATTCTTTATGAAAAGCCTCTTGATTCTTTCAGGATGCAGACAAAAATTTGAAAAAAATGATTCATATTTTGTTGCTGGTACTGGTTGAGCCTCCCGGTGATAGCCCAACACCCATGAATTGATTATTTTGATGCAAATTTAAGTCTCCAGAAGACATAAAATGCACATCCAATTCCATCTTACAGATGGTATTTTAGCAGTTTCCTGGGTTCAGTGTCCATATGCAAAAGAAAGGCCAGTTCCAGCACTGTGTTCTTCATTCATGTGTCATCTCAATGTGGCATTAGGAAAAAACATTATTTTAAGTAAGGTGTTTGAGATGCAGAATGGCTGCTAGTTTTAGTTTCTTGTGTCTTTAATTCCTACATTACTACTTCCCTCCTTTTGTCAGATATTAGGTAAAAAATGCTTTGAGGAAAATTTAACTCGGTTTCTATACTTGGCTCTTACATTTTCATCCTAGCAAACAAAATAAAAAGGGAAAAAAATCTTTCTCAGAGTTTATTGAAGAGTTTTATGTAAAACTGTCAGCTCTGAGGGTACAGAATGACTTGAAGAGCTGTCATATCACAGACTTCTCTGAATGTATCTTTTCAGGGGGTATATCAAATGGCTTCCATGTAGTAACTGTTCCTTGGAGAATGGAAAATTTGTTCTCAAATTAATCTTGCTGTTCTCTGCTGTCTCTTTTCCTTCTTTATTTACCTAAAAGCAAATATGTATATTTGCTATCTTAACTAACCAATGCAAATGGAATTCCATGTAGGATTTTGGTTGCATCAGTTGTTGCTGAGAAGTGAAGCTGTGGGAACAGCTGTCAATTTGCTTAGGTTAGCTCAGCTGAATTAAGAAAATTCTCACAAGTTGATTTTTTAAAATGGGATATTTACTTCCCTAAAAGAGGTTATAACAGCTTTTAAAACAACACTGAAAACTCTTCCATGCCAATAATTTTGACATGAAATGTGTGAGATCCAACTGCTTGTGCTACGCTATTGCATTTACTTGTATTTTGATTCATAACACGGTTTAAAGCAGTCCTGTGCTGTAGAGTTAATGCTTTTTCCTCTTATCTTCCACATGACAACTTTTGATCTATAAATATTTCCCTGTCAGAAACACTGAAGGGTATTGTGTAAAGCTGTGATTGTAAGGGATGGTTTTACCACTTGCCTGATTGCTTCTGCTTCGTGCAGCTGAGGGAGACCACTACAAGCAGTAATTGACTGCCTTGACTGATTCTATTGTTATTCCTTTATCCCCAGTCTCGGGGAGAAACAGTTAAGTGGGTGGTGATTCCATTATGCACTAAAATGTGTGCCATTTTACAGTAGAATAAACAACCACAGAAAAATATGATGAAAGTGCTCCAGGTTAAAAAAAAACTCAGAAGCTGTTTACTCCAGCCTTTCTGGTTTAATTCACAGAGCCACAAATGATAAATTCTGGAATTCTTTTTGCATTCTGTCCGCAACAGTGTTCTGTACCAGGAACCACCTCATCTCTTGATTATTCTCCTTTTGTAATTGAAACTCAGTCTGCTGATGTTTTCTTACATCAAATCTTGTTAACCGTAAACAGAGTCTGTGCCTACTGTTGACATTTTGGGCTATACCTGGCAGAAATACAATTTGGAATCTACGATCTTAGGGGAGTGTTCTTAATCTCTAAAGACTGTGCATAACTTTTCTAAATGTCTAAATATACTTATGACAAATCTAATTTTTAGTATTCAAGGAAGAAGTTTGAGGATGTTGAAAGACCTTAAAATCTTATCGAAACATCTAACCAATATATCCTGGAAAGAATCTGGTTTATGTGTGTGGAGTCATGTGTTAGATTTTTAGAAGGCTGACATCAGCAAACAAACTATGTGTCCTCCCTTCCCTTAGTTACTTTTTCCCTAAGCAAAGCTGAAAACTCCAACCTGTATAATGAGAAACCCTTGTGACCAAAACTAAAGACAAATGTGTAGCATTACACAATATCTTTTTATATGTGTGTGTGTGTGTGTGTATATATATATATATATACACACACCTACCTAATTAATTATATTTTTTAGGACACTGATATATCAAATTTTAAACTTATAAAGCAGTCAGATTCCAGACAGTGCAAATCATACTTTAATATATTATAAAGCTATATAGTAAGCCCACTCCATGGGCTTTACATGCACATAAAACCAAGAGTTACATAAATAATATCAAATGACAAAAACGGAAAGCAGTTTCTGCATACTTTATTTTACAATTCCTCACTAAATATATTTACAGGACACAGAGTTTGCTTTAGTGCAATACATAGTAATGTTGCATAAGTACAAACTGTTGAACTTTTCTAAAAAAAATTAAAGAAATAAAGCACTTAACTGATGTTACAGCTAAGTATGTAAAGCAACGTTAATAACTCTGAGAGAAAATGCTAACAGCATCTTTTCTTCTCGTAAACAATTTCTAGAAACAAACCACAAACTGGCATTACATATTCCAAACTACTACCCCTTGTACAGTACCATATCATTTAAAAAATCACTTTTTAAAAGCACATATACTGTACTGTACAGCAACCTGTTTCTACAGATACTGACTTACTCTTTTAATACAAATATGGTATTACCGTGGCAGTTTTGAAGAACAAAGTTATCTCAAGATATCAAACATCAGTAACAAACTCTGATAAGCACAGCTTCTTGAGAACCTGCTTTAACAGCATTTCTTCACAGTGATATTTATGAAAGGTTGGAAAAAGAGATTAGCATAAAATATTTCCATCCTTTTCAGTTTTTATGCAAAAATCATTACTTTATATTGGTAATTATAAAATTACAAACACTTTCTATAAGTAACTGCATCTGTAGTAATGATAGAAAAAGTCATCAATAAGACACCTAAAATGAGGCTTGCATAACATGAGAGTTTGAAGAAAACTAGGTATACCTCATTTTTAAAAGAAGAGTAAGGGATGTAACTTAATTCAAAATAAGCAACACAGTTTAACAGCGATAACCTATTATCAATTAAAAAAGCTACTTACTTATTAATAAATGTTAAAAAATAATGAAATTGTGATGAGGCGAAATCAACATTTAAAAAGAGATGATGGAACATTTACTCTTAATCTTAGTTTTGGCACTTCATTGGAACATTTACTTTACCAAAGACCAAAATATGTATAAAAGATATACAGCTCCTTGACATACCTTGCAAATATAGTACATAAGTACTGGCAAACACTGAAAACATAGTGAAACATTCCCACAGATTTGCACATGCATGCAGTAGTCAGACAACGGCGTTGTATTTATGTTCTCGGCGGTGACAATCTTGCATTACTTGGGTATTTCAGGCCGTTTCTTCAGCAGATCTTGTTTCTGTTTTAAGTCTTACAAATTCTTTAGCAACTTCATCGTTGTTCCTCTGAGAAAGTATTCTAAGGATTGTGAGCCCAGTCTCGTCCACGGAGATGCTCCTGAGCAGGGGGTACCAGGCGGCGCAGCCGCCCCGGTCGGCGATGGCCTGCAGCTGGATGACGGCCATGCCGATAACGCGGTCCTCCCGCGCAAAGCAGTAATCCTTCACCGCCAGGTGCACCTCGTAGGCTCCTGCCTTCTCCTCGTTACTCAGCAGGCTGTGTGGATTGACAGTGGCAGTTTAGAACAAGGAGTGCACTTTAATTCCCCCAAGGAATTAATTCACTCTAGAAATCTTGGGCAAATTAAAGCGAGAATGATGCTTTAAGTTTTGTGGTTCCATTTTGTTAGAACAGGTTATCTAATTTTAAAATTTCTACACAGGTAACCCTTCACATGTATTGCTGATAGAGCCTCTGTTCTCAGCAGCCTGAACAGAAACAGAATTCCCTTAATAGTTGGAACAGGCAGTTACCTTTCCCTGGAAAGTACAAAATATGGTCAGCTAGTTCCCCAAATGTCAGTACCAATACAGAAAATCCCTGGCAGCAGGCATCAAAAGGAGCTTTGTGGTGAGACACAGAGTTAACTGATTTTTAGTCAGGAGGGTAAGGGGAGGAAAATAAATTGGTGTCAGGAAAGGGCAGAGAAGTACTAAATTTAAAACTCCAGGTTAGGTGGAAGCTTCTTACTGATTTAAGGATTAAATGGTAACAGCATTAGATAAATGACAGTGTTAACACATGAACAATCCAATACTCATTTTGATATCTCTACAGGCATGAAGGCCAGATATCTAGAAATAATAACTAATGCTTCTGTCCAAACAAATACCTAGGCCAATAGATACGTAGGGATAGAAATAGTTATTCCTCTGTAGGGAAATTAATTGTGAATTTTAACCAGGTTTTATAGGAGTTAAAGCTTGATGACTGCCATTCATTTTCACATACAACAAAGACACAAATGAGTAAATAATTTTGAAAATTTGTCTATATATCTATGTTAGGATAGCTTTTTTTGTTATTAATGGTTTAAAGGCAAAAATATTTTGGGGAAATTTTCAAAAAATATGCAACTGCTAGACACAAAAGACTTACAATTGGAAAGTTTCATTGTACTTAGGTGACCAGGTGTTGCTCTTTGTCTTGGTTCCATGTTTTCTTTTCTTGTCACTTAACTTAGGACCCAGTATGCAAACCTCCACGAATGGCCGGAACATAGCTGTTGTTTGCCAGTTTAGGTTATTAATTGCTACAACTATAAAGAGATAAAAGAAATTAATTTAAATAAAATTCCATTGGAAGAGGTCCAATTTATTACCCTCTATGATTTGGTAAAGCCAGGAAAGGTGATCTGAGAGCTTTCCTATGGATATCAATACCTGGTAAGCCTAGGAAGATACTTTGCCTCTTCCCTGCTAAGTAAAGTTGTCTGACTACTTTTAGGTTCCAAAGTATCAACTAGAAACATGTATTTTACAAATCCTTTACTTTTACAGCTTCTTTTTGCCAGCTACCTTCACTGCAATTAAAAAAAAATCAGCTTATACTAATCTGAAATATCCTGTGTTTCTGAAATTCAGGTTGTGCAGAACAAAAGCATTTTGTTAAAAATGCAGCTTCTTAAGACCTGGTGCAGTCATTTGCTACTCAGCTTTGCTGTAGTTTTTTAGAAGTTGAATTATGCAAAAGCAATCGAGAAGTATAATTTGACACATTTTAATTTATAACTCTATAACTTAGTATAATAACTTTAAATTATCTACACAGAGAAGCATAGACAGTACTTGTCTGCAAAATCTGAACTTCTGCTGATGTTGAGCAAGGAAAAAGTGCACTCCTAATCACCTGAAGTGTACTCAGAGTCTCTCAAATACTATAATACTTATCACTTTTTATTTTAGCACTGGTATGTTATACACAGGATGTAGTGCTTGGAGGTTTGGTCTTTGTTGTTACTTTCTTTTTAAAGTTGGCTAGTTTGAAACTTACCTTTCACAGTGACTTTATGCTCACCAGTTCCAGGATGGGTAGAGACATCCACCTGTACAGATATCTCACCCACTGAATTATTAGCAGTTTGACCTGAAACAAGAATTACTGGTTAGCACACCTGGCTTCTCGATGCATCAAGAGAAATAAACAGCCAAAGGCGAGTGGTATTTTCCTTTAGAAACACTTCAACATTTCTGACATGTTTCACATTCCAGTGGGAATCAGTTATAGATTCATAAATGATTTTACACAAAAGAACTGGGCAATTGGAAAGTGCCTCGGAGGAATAAAACCTGTTCATCTGGAACTTTCCATTCCGGTTGTCATTAGGTGTGTTTGCATCTTGAAATGCTAAAGTTGGTGGGTTTGTCAAGTTTTTCACGTACCTCCCAAAAATCTTACTGCTAAATGTGTATTTGGGAAGTTACTTCTGTATCACTGTTTATGAATCCTTTGCTGAAGGTTTTGTCTCAACAAATTACTGAAGTTCTGCACTAGCACAGACAGAGGGGCTTAAAAATGAAAGGTCGAAGGGATGGCAGGAGAACCAGAAACTTAGTTTCTTGAAGTTTTTACTTTTGAGAACCAGGTGAGGTTGCAAGTCAGTTTGTACAGAATTCACCTCTAAAATGACTTAAAATATTGTCTTGAAAGGTGCCACAATATATCAGATTATAACAGTAAAACATAAATGAAACTGACTATATTTACTTGTTCTTTGACTGGAGATTCAGTTATCATTTAACAGGCTCATTATTGTGCATTTCCAAGCTTTCAGGTGAGTTTGGCTTGGATTTGTTGTGAACCTACTTTTGAAACAGCAGTGTTTTAAAAATGCACAGTGTCAATGTCTTACTGTATTTACAGCTGCCACTTCTGAATTGCAGGGTACCTGTACAAATTTTGCTGTTAGATATATTTAATTACCAGTCAGAGCATTTGGACCACATGTAAATAAAAAACTTATTAGACAACAGTTTTTTAATGACAAGAGGTTTAGCTTCAATGGCAGTAATTCAGTTTCTTGTATTTGGATAATTACTTAAAGCTGTACTATATGGAAGCTTTGAGTTGGTGCTTGCTCACAGTATGCTTGCTCACAATAAATAACACATAATTTTTTTAAAGAATTTGTGGCAAGTTGGACCAAATGGACCAGAAAAGCTAAATAGTAAGAATAACAGAATGGCTTTATTTAGATGTACAGACCAATGTATTATCTGACTATAGTAAAGTTTGCTTTTACTTGGGAAGAGAAAGGAAATTCTCATTCGGAGAAAGTCATAAAGTTAAAGATGGTTTTCTTTTCTCTCGCAAACACAGTGTCATTAGGCCATAAATCACTGAGTAGCAGGTTTTTAATGGAGTTACATTTAACCTTGGGCGCTGACTCGTGGGAAAAAGCCTTCCCTTATATTTCTGTGGATTACCTGGATTAAATGCAGACAATGCCTGTAATTCAGAAAGCAGCTTGCCCAGGATAAGAACCCAATACTATATATATTTTTATATATAGGATATTTTCATTGGTTTTGTGATACTATAAAGTAAATTAAAGAGAGCAGGGACTAGAGATCCTACAGCATTATACTGTCTCCTCCTTTAATATTGTGAAATTCCACCTTTTCACATTGTTCATAATATATGGAATTCAACCTCAGCACAGGTACTTTCTGTGGAGATGAACCTCATTATGAATGATGCTTTTGATTATAGCTGTAGCCTTCCTTCAGCTCTGAAGTTTGGGTTGAACATACTGTAACTGTTCCAATTAAAAAGCTTTCAATGCCAAACCAGACAGGAGAAGAGAAACAGGAATTTGCACCGAAATCTTAGGGATGCTGCATGGGTAGCATAAACTGAATGTACTGAGAGAGAGAGTGAGAAGTTCTTGAATCCTCTCCCAATCACAATTAATAATAATTAACCCCTCACTGCAGTGGAAGATGAGTTAAGCTGATCCTGAATATCACTGAAATTAACAGCTGGTGTCAATTATGAGTCAATGTTTTAGCATCTATCTTAACAAAAAAAACCCAACCCAAGACTGCAGTAAAGTTTTAAAAGAGGACAATTAGCATTTTTATTTGATAGTCTTGAGAGCAGCCTGTAGCTGGTGGTAGTAGTGAAGTGCGCAGTATTAACCTCAAATAATGACATGGAGGATTTAATCAGGACAAGAATCTGTGAATCTCTAAGATAAGACTTGTTCTGTTTCTCCAACTTTTTTATTAATTTATGCAAAATATATTCTTGCAAATATCTCCTAATCAGTGTCTTTCTGTCTCCTGGTAGTCCATAATTGACAACAGTGCTCCAAGCAGTGCTGCAAATATGAAGTGTGAAGTCTTGTATGTACAATAGTGCTTGATATTGTCATGAAGAAATCTGTGCAAAAAATTACACAGTCTTATAGTGAAAGCAGTTGACATTAAAATGACCCCACATTCAGTATTGCTGAGAAAACCTCCTTTGCAGAACATCCGAGTGAGCATAGAGAATTTCTAGTGCAGTCTAGAATATAAACTTAGTTTCTTTTAGTAATCACCCCTCCATCTTTCTCTTTCTGACCTGCTGAACAAACTAGAGATACAATTCCGGAACATTTAGTATTTGCTTATAGCATCTCTTGCTGACATTCAAGAACTATGGTACTTCATTTTAAAGTCTCTGATCTGTCTTTTTCTGCTGTTTTGTTTTCTTTTTTTGCTACCACTTCTTGTACAGTCACAGCAGGAATTAGTGATTCTGACTGCACTATAGAAAGGTCCATTTATCCTACTACATTTAATAAGCCAATTTAGCTGACAATAAATCTCTCTATGCACTGCAGAGGATGATGGTGCTTTTCTTCCTTAAGTACTGTAATATAACTCATTTGAAGGCTAACAAACTTATAAATGATTCTGCCTCACATTTGACAACCTTATGGATGTTTAATGATTACTGCTTGCTCTCTAATATCTGCTTTACATTTTGTTTGTTGGTATATTTATACCATTCAAAGTACAGCTTTCTCTTATTGGTGGGTCTTAAAGTCATCATGTGCATTTAATGTTAAGCCATTCTTTTGCAGTAAATAAACTGTAAAGAAGTAAAAAATATCTCCTGTGACCAAAGATGCTTGCTCCTCAGGGACTAGAAAGACCTAGAAGTCAGGCTTTTATCCCTCCTCATTTAGCACCTGGAATGGCATCAATGTGCGAGTTGTTATAACACTAATAATGTTGACAGAAAACAGCCATTTTGGACTAAGGTCCAAGTCATTATTTCTTAGTCATGACAGTACACAGAGAAATTCCATTCCCTTCTGTTCCTTCCTTAGTTGATACCTTTGGAAAAGGTGAACTTCCGTATTCTGAGAAAATAGCAAAATATGCAAATGGAAAAATGAGTAATGTATGTTTTGTAAAAACAAAACAGTAACTGCCTCTATTTTCTAGGATAATATTTTTGCTAAATACAAGAGACCCCTACTGAATCAGTCTGTGATTGTGCACAAAAGCACATTTCTGTGGAAGGATTCCTTTGTCTTGCTTGATCTTTTAGCAGCAAAAAGTTCTTAAATGAGGAGAACTTTGAAAAATAACTTCTAGGCTTGCATGAAAAAAGAGCCCAGTAGAAATAAATGGGATTCACAGAAAATCAGCATAAAATTTAAGAATGTGGTGATTTGCAGTATTTTTGCCCCAAAGTAGCCAAAGATAATATGCAAGATTCTAAAAACTTTGTATTATTGTATCAAAATTTGTGGAGGTTTAAATATATTTCTCTCTCTCTGTTTTTTTTTTTTTTTAAATTTTTTTTTTAAACTCTATGGGTTCAGGGTTTCAAGATCATTTTTACTCCTCTGAGGATTAGAAATCTGGTTCAAAAGAAAAACAACTACCTGCAAACTAAGAATCATGTATAACATGATTTTATTACCCGAGACTTAGAAAGCTGGCTGAGCACTGGGAGCCAGGCCAGCTGACCCCACACTGGTGCCTGTGGAACCCAAACCTATCCCATTTACCTCACTGGCTTTTTCAGCACAAAGCTGCTCATTTAAATATTGGACCTGTGCTTTGACCTTATTTTCCAAATGGGACGTAACAATGAAAAAGTTGAACAAATATTCAAGCTTTCATAGTTTCCAATGCTTTAAGAATTACACAAATTATGAAATCAGCACTTTAATTCAGACCAGCATCAGTCATCTTTTGATTGATGATGCCAATAAAATATATACATTTGTCTGGTGTTGAGCTGTTAATTTATTAGGAGAGAAAATAGCAGGGTGACTCAGAGTTATTTTTCAGACTGATTTGGAGGAAAACCTTGAGTGCATTTTCTAACATTTTTATTTAATCCACAGAGAATAAGTTAAAGCTGAATTGTTAGGAGGTGGATGTAGCAAGCTAGATGATCTCTTCTGTATGTGTACTAGAGAAAAGCAAGACAGCAGTGAAAACTGATTCTATAATGATAATCACACTAACTTCAACATGGGCTTTGCTTCAAGAAGTTGCTATACAAATGGTTGATGATAATTTGTTTTGGGGGATTCTGAGAACCAAGATCAGTACTTGAAGGATTACTTCCGTAACCATTTATTCACCATGCTGCCATAAAAAGATTGAAAAGATTTAGGTTTGTATTTGATTAACAAATGTAAATCATTTGTCTAAAGAATCACTTGTTGGGATGGAATTAAGGTTGGCTAGAGATTCAGCAGATTGAGATGCTCCTCAGTTGTGCAAAGCTGCACTATCAATGTCTATTCCCTCCCAGTGGAATTGTGGTGTCAGGCAGGGAGGGATCTGAGGCACTCAGAACATAAAAGCAGGATGTTTGCTGTGAGTGTTGGCATGGGATCCCCAGCTCAGGCCTTTCCCTGCATCTCTGCTGGGGAAAGCTCCACGCAGCCAGGGCTGCAATTGCACAGCTCACCCAGAGCTGCAGCTGCTGCTCTGCCCATGTGGCAAAGAAACGGGGCATGAGCCACCTTCCATCTGGGAGGTGTGGATCAACTGGCCTCTGTGGGTGTATGTATATTTTTTTACATGTATTTTTATATATGCGTGTATTGTGACCAGTGTTTTACCCAG